GTATTCATTAGTATCGAAATTTTATGTGTAATTTTATACTATAAAATCTAGTTTCACCATCACCCCATGTCGCACATTTATTTGAACTAACGCCGTTATACTGCGGTAGTCAAGAAAACCGGCGGTATACCGCTGGTATACCGTCGGTTGCTTCGAGTACCGCGGTATACCGACGGTTTTCTTGATTACCGCGGTATATTGACGGTAAAACTATCTCTTTCTCTGTCTCTCTCTATGTATATATATATGTATATGATAACGTTCTTTTTAATTTAGATGATTGTGAACATTGCTATAAACAGTAAGTGTTTATTAGATGAATTATTATTACTATATTATTGTTTTATTTACGACGAACTCAGTACTAAAATGAAAGGTACGTATTCATGCAAAATATTTTTATTTTATTATTTTTCTACTTTTATTTAGAGCAATTTTCAAAACTTCAAAAGAAAGTATTTATTTATTTATTTATTTATTTATTAAGAACTATTTTATTTTTTATTTAGATTCTTCTGAGCATTATTTAGTCGGGAAAACGTAGCAACAAACAGAACTGTTTATCATCAAATATGCGATTCATTGTCTTATGAATCTCAGAATGAATTTATATTATCGTATACAAAAAAAATTAATTTTATTAAACTTTGTCATTAGAAAATTATTTTTTCTGTTTTAATTTCAGTATTACATTTGATTGTCAGTGAAATGTAGCTGTTTCTGAGAAGAGACAACTTAGTAAGAGCTATATTTCACTCATGACCAAAATGTAATACTGAAATTAAAACAGAACAAATAATTTTCTAGTGATAAAGTTTAATAAAATTAATTTTTTGTATACGATAGTATAAATTCATTCTCAGATTCGTAAGAAATCAGATTAATAGGTTCGCACCTTGATTCTACCGGTAAAAGATGAAATTACCGCCGGTATACCGCCGGTTGTTTTGCAACTACCGGCGGTAGAGCGCACATTATACCGATCGGTCAACCGGCGGTATACCGCCGGTTTTTTTCCGGTTCTAATCACATGGGACTTCTCGTGTTACAAAACTAAGTGATTATACAATTTATATGGATATACCATACATAAAAACAAGTGATCAGAAAATAGAAGAATAAATAACTTATGCAGACAAGAGGAACAGAACGTATATACCAAATAAGATGTACAAAAAGAATAACATTATTTTTACTCAGTTCGAGTCTAATCGAATTGACGGAAGATTTCAAAAAACTAGATTGAATTGAATCGAATCCGAATGAAGATTTTTTGCATTAGTTTTACTCTGTTTATCATTTAATTAGCTTTAACAAAGGATAAACAAACGAAACAAAGTTATACAATAAACAATGAATCATATATCTTTCATCCATTTTCATTCCTTATTTATTTAGTCGCCAATAATCATCATTATTTTCTACATAGTTTGTTTTTCTTTTCGTTCATTGATACACATTTTCACATCATGTTAATATCCACATTTTACTTTGTTTTATTCTATCAAGAAATTGTGAGTGTTTTTAGTTGGGGACCGATTGGTCATAGTCTTGTTGCACGTCTTGCACAAAGTCAATTAGATTCATCTACTAATAATTGGATTCAAAATTATATACCACGAAATTTATCAGGTGATTTAAGTGCAATTGCATCATGGCCTGATATAACACTTAATCCAATGACTAATCCATTGGGTTCTAAGAACTGGTTATGGTCTCGTGAATTGCATTCTGCATATATACCTGATTGGAGTTGTGAATATATTTCATCAAGAGATTGTTTGAATGATAGATGTCTTGAAGGAGCATTAAAAAATTATTCACAAAGATTAATTGATAATAATTACGATTATGTACAACAACAACAAGCTCTTTTTTTTCTTGTTCATTTTGTGGGTGATG